GTATAATAATCAGCATTACAAGAATAAATCCAAAAACATTCCAGTTGTTTAAATTTTCTGTATTCTAATTTTTCAACCAGGATGCCAATTACAGGGTGGTCAAGAACAGAAACCCTGTATTTTGCAATAACTTTAAGTGCTTGAATATACATATGTTTGAATGATATTTGTTCTATCCTGTTTTTCCACCCTGTATTTAAACCTAAAAGCAATGTTTTGCAATATATGGCCTCATATGCTTTGTGCAAAATAAGTCCAGTTTGGGCAGCAGTGATACATTCATGTACTCTTTGTTAAGGGATATTTCCTCAACAAAAATGTCATTCTTTGTGTAGACTACAACGTAGCACATCTTTCTTCCAGTGATAAATAGTTGTCCTTGAACTTGAGCATTATAATGTGTATTTGTTTTCAACTTTAATTGACCATTTGAGTCTCTGAACAAAAATTTCTGATTTTCCTCTGATATTGCTTCATCTTTTCCATTGAATGGAAATTTTACTTCCAAAAGTTGGTCATCACCAATGAGGCCATCTGGTGAGCATGCTAGATAGGGGTTTTCAACAGAAATGAATAACCCACATTCTTTTACAATTTTTCCAGTTTTGTCCTCAAAGGTTTTCCTAGCCACTGGTTCCTACTTGATGCCATGCGTAGTTGCTTCAGATTTGAAAGGCTTGGGATTAACTATGGCCTCACAAAGCCTATCATAGTTTCTTTGGTGGGTGGAATGCTCTACTTCACCAAATTTTGAAGCAGTTATCCTCCATGATCGTAGATCATGCCACTCCTTGGAAAGTGCTTGATTCATCGTTCTTCACTCTATTTCGGCAGCTTGTGATGAATCAATCTGAATTGAAAAAAATTATACAATTATTATTACATGTATTAAAGACATTAACCCTAGAAGCCCAAAGGGGAAACAAAAGGTCCCCACAAAAAAGTTTTTTTCTAAGACAGTTTTTATAGGCATCAGGTGACTTTTTTAGATGGAGATGGAGACTATAACATTATCATAATAATAACAATATTCTTAAATAATACATAATCACGGTACTGAGTCTGTTCCACTGACCAGCTCAAAAACATTTCATGTTTCACCACCTTAAAGGCCCTATGAAAAGTTTTAAAATAGCCTATGTATTAACCATTGGCGCCCAGATAAATCTTGTCTACAGGTTTTCCAGCCAAACTGTTTCAGGAATTTATCTTAAATTGTAAGGTTAGGTCCTACCTAGGAAAGTTTAGAACTGATTAATTTTTGGGCTTTCTAGGCACTAGTTAAATGTTAAGGTGGCCATTTTAAACTTTCCACCTCATCTTGTTTAAATATGCTAAACTGTCAAAATAATATAATGCTGATTTGTCTAACAAGGTTGAAAAAATAATATACAGTGCATGTTTTTAAATATAACTGTAGCATTGTTTACTATGAGAATTTAATTTTTTTTGACAAAAAGATGTGAGTTTTGAGGTAAGGGTGAATGTTCAGAATTTTGCTGCAACCTTCAATAGACTCACATGTTATTTTTCAAATTTGAATCACTCCTTCCCCACAGTGTCTAGATCTCTCACTTTTGCACAATGAGTGCACTTATGTACCTCGAAAATAATGTGAAGAAGAATGTTTTGATGAATTTTCTCGTTTTATACATTTAACAAAACAAATCTTCTCGCCAGTCTTTTCTAGGCACATAAGTGCACTCATTGTGCAAAACTGGAAGATGTAGACAATGAGTTTCATTCGATTGAAAATACTAGTTCTATTTCTGAAATAATATTTTCGTAATTATACATCAATAAGGTCACAATGGCATATAGGTGTGTATAGGTGTGTATTTATTCATATAACCTAAACAAGCGGAACTATTAACTTAACACACAATAGGCAAAATGACCATGGAGGTTAGACCTACATACAGTATGTAGTCAGGGTGATAAGACATGTCAGATAATGTTGATTGACTTCACATAGGTACACTAATAGGTAACACAGTTTGCTCAAACACTGGCTCAAACTCAAAGAATGTATGAAGAATCCTCTCTTGACTTGCTACATGTAGGTGTAGGTACAGTACATGTACAATTGTACATGTAGACCTAGAGAGGCACCCCAGATCATGAATTTGAGGTTGAAATCTGGAAATTCGATCAATATTGATTTTAAATGGGGTGAATGATAACAAGCTCAAACGGGAAGCATAGGACAAATTCCCCAGTCAAGTGTTGCATTGCGAAAAAGGCTAAAAAATCAAGTCCAAATCTATCCCTATTATCACCCGTGTCAGAAAATAAATACATTTTGAAGGCCATGATATCAAAAGATTTGCTGTTTGTGTCGATAAAGAACGTTTAATAGGAATCACAAACCTTTCAACAAGAGCCTCCTTCCTCCCATTTGTGCTGGCACCACTCAAGGACAACTCACTCTTCAGCTTTTGTACCGTACACTTTCCAAACTGATCTGCCATCTTCCAAGTTCAAGGCCCTAACCCTTGGAAAGCTTGATCACTTACATCGCCTTGCACTATTTACATTTGATTGAATATTTTAAGTCAGTATAAGAGTAAAATTGGAGAGGAGTGTTACTCAACAACTATTTTCGAATATATGAATGTTTCTCCTTGTCTAATGAATCATCAATCTGTAGAATAATGTAGCACAACTTTGTCTTGTTAGTTGACTTCTTCGTCTGGCACAGGGTGAGTCACGTGACCTATATGTTGACTTACGCACTTGCGCACCACCTATATCAGGGCTCGAATCACGCGAAACACCATTCATGTTAGTCATATTCTATATTATTACAATGCATTCGGCCATTGAAGAACTTGTCATTCTTGGTCATGTTTCCTATGATTAAGCACATTTTTCGACATTGGGTAGTTCCATCACTGTCGCTCAGCATGCAACCGCATGGCACATAAATGTACCATGCTTTGAATAATATGCCAGGTTTCTCTGACAATATCATGATAGCATTTGACGCAGCTATTTCAGCATCTCTGAAGGATCTAATGCATGACGTTGGAGTAATGCTTACTTCATTTTCGACATAGTTATTCAACAGTTCAATCACATTGAACTCTGGTCCTTTGACATGAAGTAGTTTGACCTCCTCTATCTTTACTTGATTTAGGAAACCCTCTCACAACTGGTCAGCCCACATAGACAAAAAGGAAAATTCAATATCTAGACGATATTTGAAATGATGTTAAAAGTTCAATTTTTTCAAGCAAAAACCTGTATTTTATTGACAGTGAAGTGTTTTTGAAAAAAGCATAAGATTAGGAATTTTGATAAAATATTTAATAATTAGAGGTTATGTCACTATCGTGGCATATATGCCCGAGGTCTCAGTGATATATGGCCTGGCCTTGGGAGGGACATTGATCTCTGAGAACCAAGGGCATATGTGCCACGATAGTGACATAAACGATTTATAACATACCTATGATGATGTAGACTGGTCAGAGAGTACCGTTTTCTTATAGAATTGACAAACAAATGGTTTGAAAATGATTGAAATGAGTTTAGAAAAATTGCTCGCGCAGTTTTATCTTCAATTGATTGGTTATGACGTCAGCGCCTTGACCAATCAGAAAGTTAGCGGGCTTTTCAAAACTGATATTGGCCCGCTGTCTTGTGTACACTTTGCACTATACATCATCATAGGTATGTTATAAGAATGGTTATTTCATCGCAAATATAGAGTAAAAACACAACATGCATGTAGCACTATTCTTAAGTCTGCGCCTTCATATTACTTATCTCAAGTCCAAATCAGATTTACTGCCCTCTATTCCTTTGCAAAGATGTCTCACTTTCATATATTATTATTCAATGCTTTATTGTACTAAAAATCCCTTTCGGGTGAGTGTACAGCAAATAAACACGATAAAATAAAAATAAAACTATACATACAATTACAATAACATACAATGCAAATTTTACATGGCATATAATGACAATATAATGTGATTGACTGATCATTAGATGTATACCAACAACTACTATTAGCCTATATATTTATATCGATAATATAGTTGATCTCTTTTCAATTATTTCATAAAGGTATTTTGCAAAGGCGATACACATGTTACCCTCAGCATTAAACATATAATAAGCCTTTTCTTCGGTAGTCAATACAGTTAGATTTGGGCAAATCGAATTAAACGTATCAAAGTATTCATATCTCATTTTTTCCAATTTTTGACACTCAAAAATAAAATGAGTTTCCGTACCAGTGTTGATTTTACATAATTTGCATTTTCTTTGATCTCTCGGAATTATTGGTCTTATATATCTTCCTCGCTCTATTTCTAAATTGTGTGCACTTATTCTTAATCGCGTCATAGATTTCCTAAGTTCAGGGTTCTTTATTAAATTCAAATATGGTTCTTTTCCCCATCGTTGTTTGATATTATTCAAAAATTCTAATTTCCCTTTATTATCATTGACAGTTTTTTCCCAATATTTTATATATCTTTTTTCTAGGATTTTCTTAATATCAAGCGGTTTGCTATTAATGTAATTTTTATCTTGTGGTTGAACATATGCCATTATTCTATCAATGTCATAGTACCATGATGGTTGATTATGAACTTTTGATAGTTCAATACTATCTGCATATGCATTAATTAGTAATGAACTCGTTCCTTCATTTTCTATATGATCTAAGTATTTAACTTGTTGGTAAAATATATTGATAAACAGAGGGAATCTACTTAACTCACCCATCGTAGCTAAATTACTCGTTTTTCTATGCACCCCTAATATAAACTTCAAAAAAGATAGATGTAGTAATTCCGGTGGAAGTGACTTGTTTATATCACTACGGTACTGTAGACAAACTCAACATTAGGATAATTTGTTTTGCCACATGATATCTTACTTTTCTCGACTTCTCAATTTGGCAAAAATGTGTCAAAATCAACTTCCATGGTGCTTATTAGGTGATGCGCACTTATAACAGAGAATATGGTATATTTTTTTCTTTCAGGGAGCCAACAGCTATGGACAACTGGGACAAGGGCATATAGATGACAAGTTTTTGCCTACTCTTTTGCCAACAAATGAATGCATCTTTTCTTTGAGTGGTGGTGGAGGACACACCCTTGCAATAACAGGTATTGCAGTATTTAAGTTAATTGTTGGTTACACATGTATTGGGTTATCTGTAAAATATAACTATATTATTAGTATTTGCATACTTCATGGTTTTGCTAATTAAGTGTTATGTTTCAGAAACTGGGAAGTTAATGTCATGTGGTTGGAACAATAAGGGTCAGTTAGGTCTTGGTCATACTAACAACATCTTCAATCTGTCTTATGTAGACCTCCCTAGTAAAATCATCAAGGCTGCAGGTGGTTGGGATTTTACTCTGTGTCTTACTGAAGATAATAACCTCTATACCTGGGGTAGCAATGCATTCGGTCAGCTTGGTAGTGCAGAAGTGAAAGGATGTACATTACTGCCAGTGAGTCAAAATGAAAAATCTGTCTCAAATAAATAAATTGTAAACTGTACTTGCATATTCTATCAAATTAAATCGTTGTATTGACTGATGAAGTTTTTAAAATTATTTACTAATTTGAAGGCAAAATCTTTTTCAGATTCAAATTAATGGAGCCTTTAAAGTGAAAGATATATCTGCTGGTCTGCGGCATGCTATAATTGTTACAGGTATGTTTTCATTGAATCTCTCATTTATTTTTGTTTTCTTACAACATATTAGCATCAAGAACATATTTTCAAACCAGCTCTATATTTCAGACAAGGGAGACATTTTTACATGGGGATTTGGTAAGAATGGCCAACTAGGTCATACACACCAACAGGATGTAAGCAGTAAAAGGCCAAGCCATGTATATCCCAACCCTGAAGCTCTTTCACTGCCGGAATCAATTGGACAACCAATTATGGTAATAGCCGGCTCTCACCACAGTGGCTTTTTAACCAACACTGGTCAAGTTTGGATATGGGGTTGCAATAAATATGGACAGTGTGCTAGAGACTTAGATGTATGCAAAGTACAAAGTCCCTGTGCTGTACCCCAAGGATTCTTTAACAATGAGAAGATAGTATTGTTGAAAGGTGGTTGGACTCACATGTTAGCTGTAACAGGTGCGTTTTTTCATTTGGTAACTATGGTGTAAATATCACCTTTATATTCCATGAATAGTCGGAAAAGCCATGATCTTTTATAAACATTATATACAAAAGCATTATAATACCTTATTCAGCATTGAAATTGAATATTTCAGAATCAGGTGCGGTGTATAGTTGGGGTCGAGGTGATTACGGCCAACTTGGCAGACCTTGTAATGCGAAATGTGATCCTCGACCACAGAAAATAGTGGGTTTACAGAATCTAGTCACATTGTGCTGTGGTTCTGAGCATAACATGGCAATTACAGGTGTGTGTATTCACTGAAATGAGATTCATTTTATTAGTCATTGATAAAATTATCACATCTAAGAAGATGTGCAGTATTACTAGCTTTATTAAATCAATAATTGACGTCTTAACATCTACAGTACCCATATACTTTAATCATTGTTTGAATATCTGAGCACAATCATGAAAATAAGAGAGCATAATTTAAGAGACAGGAAGAAAATACTATTACTTGTTGCAGCTATAACGATTTCAGTGGATGTTTGCATATATATTTGTAGAAGATTGTAGATTCTTGTGCTGGGGTTGGAATGAACATGGAATGTGTGGAACTGGGGATGAGGTCAATGTTGACCTTCCAAGGCCTGCACAACTGGATGTAATTAAGACTATGCATTTAACATCTGTTTGCTGTGGCTCTGGGCACTGTTTCCTGTCATGTCAAGCTACATAAAGTAAGCTTTTAACATACATCCTTTAAGCTCAAATGGATGAGCTATTGCAGTTAATTGTTTGTTATTTTATGAATAGAGAATTTGGACATTCGTGGTGTTTAGAGTCTAGAGAATTCACGGCATTTTGGTTGCAACTATACTTTACATACTTGTTCCTCATTTAAGAGGCACTCCAATATCTTCCATTTAGTTGCCCTAATTTTGATACTCCTTATTTATCTTCTGCTTAATTATAAAAGGTAAGTGATATGCGCAAAACATTTTGAAAAAAGGTCTTGAATGACTTCTCATAGTGTTTAAAATTCTCTCACTTCAAGAGGCAAGTTTGAAAATAAAGAGATTTCTAATTTGTGTGAAGGCTAGATTTAATGCCGTACCCAGTCTAATGGTAACTGGTTTCCCCCAATACCATCCTCCTAACCAGGTGTCCAGTATCCATACCTCCTTCCCCCCTGCTCTAAGCAATTTGAATGTGATCTAACTATTTTGAAGTGGAGCATGGATTTCATGCACAGGTTATTTACACCGTTAAATTGAATAATTAATTGCTCCAAGCAAACATATACATGTATACCTTAGGCCATAAGAAGTTGATTCTTTGTTTTGCGTCCTGGTAAAATCCAAATCTTGCAAGGGTACAAGGAAAACAAACACAAATTAAAAAAAAAACACAAACTTATTCGCAAGGAAATGTATACACTTAATGGATCTAATAATGGATGACATACCTATATGCAGTAATTGCAATGTGAATCTATATTTCTACTTTGGTTCAGCCTTTGTAGTAGTTTGCAATAACAAACAACAAATAACAACATTTCAGAGGTTGATAATCTTATTCTAATAAATTGAATTAAATCGGTTAAAGTACAACTTTAAAGACTTGCAAGTATTGAAGATGTGATTTTAACTATACTAGAAGTGTCAGTGTTTAATATGTAAAGTCTATGTTGTTGTTGTTTTCGACTTGTTTCTTGTTCTTGGTCTTGCACCCTTCGCAAAGCAAGCTCCACACACAGGGTGCACAGACTGAAAGGATGCCCTGTCCTCAATTGGAAGGAGGCTGACCATGGTGCCACAGGAGAAACAACACTCAGGATATTTGCTCCTTGACGAGTAGTAGTGTGGGCTCACATCAGCTCCACATGGTAATGTGGACATTTAGCACACCTGAAGTAAAATAAAATTTCTTCTGTTTCAAAATTTAAAAATTTGACAACGTGAATGTATTCGGTCTAGGGAAGTGAGAAGCAGCTGGCATGATTGTTTTGTTGAAGGTATAGTACTGAACAGAACAGCATATAGAGGTAGATATTTACTGTACTGCATTTGCATTTTTATTCCTATAGATTTAATGAATGTTAATATCTATTTTACATGTCATTCATTGTTAAAGCAACGCACAGTCTGGTCTGAAAATGAGAACAGGAAAAATTCTAATTGAAGTGTATACCTAAATAAATAAAAAATAAAATGTGTGTTGTTTTTATGTATGTGTGTATGTATGTTTGTAATTTCCCACCACCCTACCCTAGTTCACAAACTTTAAATTTTGAAGTTCAACAAAAAATCCAATTGGCGCAATTTACAACTCCTAAAATAAATGAAGAACAATTTCCAAACTGTATCATTTCCCTTGGCCGTAAAATCGCGATATTCGATATTCACTCTATTATCGCCCACAAAATTTCTGCATGTTTTGCATGAAGTTTTCTGGTTTGCAATTACGTGGTCTGTTGACATAAAACAAACTATGAATTGTTATTTATACCTAGTTTGCGATCAACTATTTATACAGGTATTCATGATCTCTATTGATCTACGAATTCAGACAAGAAGTCGGGGAACGGCTCTTGAAAAAAATCTGTCACCAAAAAGACGACCAGCGTTGCCACTATAATATCGATCGAAAACATTTATTTTAGTCTTCACATGAATGAATTTCAAATATATCTTTGAGAAATAATTGAAGTGGGTGAAAATAGGAGAGAATGGAAGATCGATCCTAATTCAAGTCTGAAAAGCCTTGCCTACCTTTTCCGATTTCAATGGCTTTCTTGAATCTCTTTAGCGGTGGGCCTGACGTAGTCCTACCGGGAAGATCTTCCTGTCTGCTAGCGATAGACAGGCCTTCTAGCACAGTACTAATCGTCGTTTTAGGCCCCATCTCAATGGCAAAATAGTCAATGAATCCTTCAATTCGGACGCAGATCAAATCGCCCGCCATCTTTTTTTCAAATTAAATCGACTGAACGAAATTTGGTTCAAATTTAGATCCCGGGGATCGATATTTGAGTGTGTTTGTTTTTTCTGATTTGCTCAAAATCGTGCACGCACGGGGACGCAAAACATAGAATCAACTTCTTATGGCCTTATGAATAAAAATGTTTCATTCCAAAAACTCACATGCCCTCGATCATGCATAATTTGAATGTTTTTTTGTGAAAGCTTTAAAAGAATTGGTTTGAAATGCTGTAACTTAAAAGCCGCCTCAACAGGAAGGTATGTAAAAGATTATTTGCTTGGCTGTTGCATCTCAAATCAGATCGCGAGTTATTAATCAGGGAAATGCTAACTGCTTATGACAGGGGGAAAGAGAAAGAAAATATTGTAGATCTTGAAGCCCTGCGATCAGAGGATGCCCCAATACCCATTCTCCTTCTCGATGTAGTGATATAAATCTTTAAAAGTGAATTGGCTTCACACATCCACACAGTTATCAAATTTTGCAAACAGAGAAAGATAAATAACAACACCAATATCAATCTACTGCACTGAACAATAGAACTTAGACATAACAAATCTACAACCTCTATTCATTGAAAACACTAAATATCAACATTTCTGAATGTGTATGCTTACAATCCAAAATCCACAATCCTTGAAGAACATTGTCTTAAGTAAATTGGAGACCTGTTATTAACCTCTCTACTACCTGGAGTGACGAGATTTCACGTCACTTCAGAAATGACCTTGAAACTCAGAGTGACAAGAAAATCTGTCACAAAAAGTTTCACTTAAATTGCTCTTATTTGAAAAATCTCATCCAATTTAAACAAAAATGTTTAAAATGTGTAGAAATGTTCTCTGCCGTCTAATTTTATTGCAACTTGTAATTGTTCAAGTCATGTATGAAATATTGTAAATTTCAAAGGAAGTACCAGTGATTTTCCACTTCCTTTCTTCCTCCAGTCTACAGTTACTAGTTCTTTAACTGCCTACCTACTGTATTGATCCCACATTCATTACTTGCCTGTCTTTTTATCATCATACAGTTTCTGCCTTTCGCTCAATTCCATTGCTCTGGACACCTTACGGGCTACTACTTGATCTGTTGGGGGTGGTGTCTTAGGGGTTATTGTACGAGATATTTTCCTTGGATCATTTTCGGCGATTGTAACACTGCTGCTCTTTTTTTTTATTTTACTTTTCCCTTGCAGTACTTTGCAACTATGGCTGATTGCATGTGAGGGATGTAATCATATGATTTAGACTCTTTCACCTCACTAACGACCCATTCACTGGTTCCCTTGGAAAAATACCTATGCTGCCTGAAGGACAAAGAATGGTAATATTTTGTTTTTTCATTTGCATACAGTGAACCATGGCTAAGTGAACACTTTTCTCTAGCAAACACATATGTCTAGTGAACATAACACCTCTATACAATTCTACCTCAGTATAAAAGTGTCTCTATGTAGTGAACATCTACCTACAGTGAATATTTTTGTGACTCCCAAGGTGTTCAATATACTCAGACTTTACTGTATTTAAATTGATTACTTGATTAGATGGCATTGGTTTGACTTGATGAAACAGAAACATGAATATTGACAAATACCCTTACCTTGGGCGCCGTAACAACGAGGTTGCGAGTTTGAGACATGTCCGTTGTGCTTCCTCTGGTGTGTTCGAGCGTTAACATCAGCTGCCTCTAGTCAGATTGACTGACAAAACAACCTTTTTTGGGGTTGTCAAGTTGGCCGAGAAGGCTTGAGCGCCGGCACGTTTGAGCTATGCGATTGGGCGCCGTAACCACGAGGTTGCGAGTTCGAGACGCATGTGCTCCTTGTGTTTATGTTTATTTATTTATGATCACTGTCTGAGCTTTCAGTTGCAGAGGTATTAACCTGCTCTGGGTTCTTAAGGACAGTTGAGCAGTGCCTGTGTGTGTAGAAAATGTCCGTTGTGCTTCCTCTGGCGTGTTCGAGCGTTAACATCAGCTGCCTCTAGTCAGATTGACTGACAAAACAACCTTTTTTGGGATTGTCGAGTTGGCAGAGAGGGCTTGAGCACCAGCACGTTCGAGCTAGGTGATTGGGCACCATAACCACGAGGTTGCAAGTTCGAGATGCATGTGCTCCTTGTGTTTATTCATTTATATTCCCTTCCTTGGTTCGAAGTGCAGGTCTGTCTCTGTGTTTGATAAAATCAATCGCAGCTAGCTGGCATCTTCTTTTATAGGCTGGATAGCTAAAATATTCAATACAATTACACTGAAATACAGGTATCAGGTAGTTTTGTACAATAATTAAGTAGGCCTAATACATTCATATGTCTATGAATATATCTATGTTTGTCTTTCCAACTTATGTATCTAATAGTTATGCAAATTAAATATGTCCAGTGAAAGAAAATGTTATCTGTTAAATACAAAAAAAGATATTTCACTTTTTGTGACATCAACCCGAACTAGAAGTCACATTTTCAAAAAAAAATGTTTTTCAAAGTTGAGAAACAATTTCCGAAACCATATTTCTAGATGTACTTTTACATGTAGATTTCATTTCAAATATGACACCACTTTGACTTTGAATTATGAATATTTGATGACGTAAATCAAGATTATTTCTACTCGATTCAAGTATATTAAAATAAAACAATTATTTCAAAACTCCTTTTGTATTTCTATGTTTACTTACTCATAGCCATAATTCTTGGCAGCATACATAAGTATCAGGCTATTGAATGTCTCACAGTTTGCATTGAACCTGTAACCAA